CATTGTAGTTGCTGCTGGTATGTGGATTCGGGACAGCAAAAGAATCCCACCAGAACTAAATGGAATAACAGAACTCATAGGCTGATATCCGGGAGAGTGCACACCCTGGAAAGTCCACCTACATGTGGTTTGGAACGGTTAAATTGCTTAGCAACATCCAAATCAGAACCAATCAAAATGAACTCCTAGTTAAATGGTCACCCTGTTGCTATGGAGGTCGATACCAGTGCGGCCACTTCAGTGATTGCAGAGCCAGTCTTTAACAAAATTCACTCTGGACTCCAGCCCTACATTTGTGTAAGACCTCAGCCAGACTGGGAACCTTCACAGATTGAGCATAACTTTCGTTCCAGTCTCTTATGAGAAGCAGCTGGTTCAGTTACCACTGATTGTAGTAAAAGGCTCAAGCCTTTTGCCTGATGGGGTGAAATTGGTTGAGAAAGATTCAACTTGATTGGCCCAACATTTTTTGATTAGAAAATGGCTGCCTGAGTGAAGTCCTAAGTAAATAGCTGAAAGTTTTTCAGTAAAGTGGGAGGCTAGTCCACATTATATGTTGACCAAGAAGCAATTCCATGATTCTGCAAGGCCCGTCCTGTGCCATTGGCCTGTTGAACAAAAGTAGAGGCAGAAATCAGGAGGCTGGATAGTGAAGGAATCATCAAACCAGTCCAGTTTGTGGAATGGGCAGCACCGGTCGTACTGATTGTAAAGCCCGATGATTCAGTTTGCCTCTGTGGGGATTTTAAGCAAATGGTAAACTGCTTCTCATAGCCAGATAAAAACCCAATCCCTCATATAGAGGATTTATATACAAAGCTGGCAGTGGGGGCTGTCCTTCGCAAAGCTGGACTTGAGCCGTGCGTACTTGTAATTGCGGTTAGATGAGGATTCCTGGATGTATGGTACAGTTAACACCCATAAAGGATAGTGCCAATATACAAGATTGCCATTTGGGGTATCATCAGCCTGTGCCCTTTTCCGGCAGACGATGGAGAATATTTTACAAAGTCTACCCCAGGTCGCCGTTTGCCTGGATGACGTGCTAATAACCAGGAAGACTAATAAAGAGCATTTAGAGAACTTGTACCTCATGCTTAAACGTTTCTCCAAGGTGACTGTACGCCTTAGGAGGGAAAAATATGTTTCCAGGCACACCAAGTGACCTTCTTGGGCTACAGAATCAATGAGACCAGGTTACACCTGTTGGAAGATAAAGTGAGGGCGATCAAAGGTGCCACAAATGTACTGGAACTTAGATCTTTCCTTGGGCTACTGAATTAGAATGAAAAATTCATACATAATCTTGCGCCCTTACATCTGCTATTGAAAAAGGGTCAGCCTTGGAAATGGTCTCATAGCCAAGATGTAGCCTTTAGGGAACTGAGAAGCAGTTATCGTTGTCTAAGCTGTTAGCACACTGTGATCCCAAGCTAGACGCGGTGCTGACATGCAACGCCTCCCCGTACAACATCGGGATAGTGTTGGCTCACTGGTGGCCCAATGGAAAGGGACGCCCTATAGTGTAAGCTTCCCAGACTTTGGCTAACGCTGAGCAAAGACGTTCCCAGGTAAAGAAGGAAGGTTTGGCAGTCATCTTTGGTGCGAGAGAATTCTACCAATATCTTTACCGATGTAAATTTATAAAAATAACGGATCGCAAACCCTGCTAGGGTTACTTAAAGAAGACAGGGCTGTGCCACCCCACAGCTTCAGGTTGAATTCAGCTGTGGGCTCTAATCCTAAGTGCATATAATTACAAGTTGGAATACCATCTGGGAGGCCAAGTGGTACATGCGGATGCCTTGAGCCACCTCCCATTGATGCAAACAACACCAGTGGTGCCTCCACTAGATGCGTCCATTCTGGTTTTGAACTTTCTGAACACTCTTCCGGTCACCACTGACGATATCAGACTGTGGGCGCCAAAAGATCCTGTCCTTGTGAAACTAAAACAGCTGGTGGTGATGGGGGCAGCGAAAGGGCCAACATAACCAGAAATGGAATTTTTTTGGACCTGGAGAGACTGGATCACGGTAGAGGATGGCATATTATTATGGGGCGCAAGAGTGATTGTCCCAAGCAAAGCTCACCACCAGATACTGGCTGAACTCCACCAGGGTCATCCAGGGGTTTCCAAAATGAAGACGTTGGCAAGAAGTTATGTCTGGTGGCCAGAAGTGGATGCCAATATAGCCACATTGGTGGGGCAGTGCCCAGAGTGCCAACAAAGATTCCTACCAGCAGCTTCCCCACATTTGTGGGAATGGCTGGGTAAACGCTGTTACACAGTGACTATGCTGGTCCTTTCATGGGCTCAATCTTCTTGGTCATTATAGACACCCATTCAAAGTGGCTGGACATGTATAGTGTTGACTCGTCAAACACGGGGATTATGGTTGAATCTTTCACAATACATAGACAAATGGAATTGTTGGTCACAATATTCTTTTGTTGTCAACAATAGGCCACTGTTTACCAGCAGGGAATTTGAGTATTTCCTAAAGTCAAATGGCATTCGGAATGTAAGGACAGCTCCATACCATCCATCATCCAATGGATGGGTGAAAACAGCAGTCCAAACTTTGAAGGCTGGCTTAAAGAAACCGTCTACAGCTTCACGTGACACCAAACTGTTCCAGTTTCTCATATAGCTACAGGGACAGCTCCAGCAGAGTTGCTAATGGGGAGAAGACTCCACATCAAGTTAAATCTGATCTTCCTGAAAATGGGGGAGACGGTGAAACAGCATCAGGAATGCCAACGCTGGACACAAGACTCCTCTAAGCGAAAGAGGCAGTTTACTTCAGGAGGCAAAGTTTTGTGCCGAAACCGGGAGAATGGCCATGCATGGATAAAAGGCATGGTCGACGCAAGATCAGATCCCGTGACATATACAGTTTAGATAGGAGAGGCAGTCCTGAACAAGCATATGGACCACATGAAACCTCGCAAACGGGGCGGGAGCAAAACATACCCGGTGATTCAGAACCTGTGGGCTCTCCCCGTCTGCCTAGCGTCAAAGAAACCTCTGAGGTTGAGATGGACGTGGCAGATGTTGTAGTCTCGATGCTGTTGCCACCTGAAGAAGATGAATTTCGGCCGAGATGCTGTAGGTGCAAGAGGCAGGCTACAGTCTGGTATATGCCACCAGTAGGCGAGTAAGATTCGGAGGGAAACACCCCGGGAGAAGCTACAGGAAAAGAACAGGCCTACAGCCCAGGACTTAGTGGGGAAGGGTTGTAGTGATTGTAACGAGGTCAGCCAGGTGGATCTCATGGAATATGAGTTCCCTGATTGGACCAGATTAACAGCCCCAATCAGGGAGCCCTGGCTGACAGAAATGAACAGGAGTATCAGGGGTTCTGCTAAGTCTAGGAGCCAACTCTGTACTAGCTGGGTCAGTGTCATGTACTATGCATGTGTAAATAAAGGATGACTTGGTGGCAGGATACCAGCCTTCGTGGAGTTATTTCAGTCTCCATTATGGTGCAGGAAAATGAGCAGCTCTCCTGCTCACCCAGCAGGATCTCCAGGTCCATGTCCACATGGTGGAGAACGTCAACTGCCTCTCTGGGTCATGTTCTTGCGGCACCACCTACATGGGCATCAGTCCCTGGGTCACAGCGTCCCGAGTGTTGTGTAGCCAGGCTTTAACTATAGCATCAGTATTATCAATACCCAGGGTGATGGCATTGGCAAGCACCTTCAAATCTCTAGCCCAGCAAATCCCCACAAAAAATGCCACACAACTTTGGTTGCATTATCAGTGATGAGCTGAATGTCACATGAGAAAGGTCACTCTGAGCCATAAGTGAACCAGACACCATCAATCTTACTCGACAAAACACATGAACATGCCAGCCTATAGGCAGTGACTGTTCCCTTGATTGGCAAGATGGCATAATCACATCCTCTTTAAAACCTTGCATTTATGTAGCAACCTGGAGCACCTTTCAAAGCACATACATCGCTGTTAAAATGTGGAAAATGCAGCAAGAGTTTTGTTGACAACAAGATTCCAAAAATAGCTTATAACAATGATCAGAAAATCTTTCAGAGATGTTATTTGAGAAGTAAATATTGCTCAGGACATCAGGGGAAACAGGCTGGCTGCTCTTCAAAGTAATGCTTTGGGATGTCTCTTGCAAAACAGCACATCTGACCTTGTCTGCAACTGGTTATGCAAAATGTATAACCAATGCAATGGTTATGCTGCTTACTCCAACTTTCTCGTCAATTATAATCATAGAATCATACGGCACTGAAATAGACCCTTTGGTCCAACCAGTCCATGCCGAACATAATCCCAAACTAAAATAGTCCAACCTGCCTGCTCCTGGCCCATATCCCTCCAAACCTTTCCTATTCATGTACTTATCCAAATGTCTTTTAAACTTTGTAACTGTGCTCACATCCACCACTTCCTCAGGAAGTTCATTCCACACACGAACCACCCTCTGTGTAAAAAATTTGTCTCTCATGTCTTATTTAAATCTCTCCCATCCCCCTTAAAAATGTGCCCCTTAGTCTTGAAATACCCCATTCTAGGGAAAAGACAACTACCATCAACTCTATCTATAGAGTTCATGATTTTATAAACTTCTGTCAGGTCGCCTCTCAACCTCCTTCACTCCACTGAAAAAAAGTCCCAGCCTATTCAGCCTTTCTTTATAACTCAAACCTTCCATATCTGGCAATGTCCTGGCAAATCTCTTCTGAACCCTCTCCAACTTAATAACATCCTTCCTATAACTGGGCAACCAGAACTGGACGCAGTATTCCAGAAGAGGTCTCACCAATGTCCTGTACAACCTCAACATAACTGAGCAATGAAGGCAAACATGCCAAATGCCTTTTTTGCTGAACAAACTGGATATTCGGAACTTTGCTAAACCCTGCGCACAGCAAATACTGCATCATGAAACACTGTGATATTCTCACTTGACAAGGAATGCTGTAGAGTACAGTCTCCACTGTGTTTTGTCTGATAGTCTTACCGTGTAAACAAAATACGGAGATTTGTAGTTATCATCCCAATATCTACCAGTGATCGATCTGGGCAGCATCTGCATGGTCTCTTTATATGCAATCCGCTTTGCAATTTGGGAACTGCATGGAGCACTTTTAAAAGTAAACTTCGGCAATTTGCATCTTCCAGGCTGTAAAATACAAAAGGGATGACATAATTGTATTTGTTGATACAGTTGCATAGCTAATATCAAAAATATAGAAATTAACTGCTTGATCTCCAAGTTTACAGGCGACAAGAGACAATTTGTAACATAGGACTATGGTAACCTATCTCCTCCTTAAATTTTATTGCAATGGCCACGCTCATGAGGCGATGACCTAGTGGTATTATCGCTGGACTATTAATCCAGAGACCCAGATAATGTTCTGGAGACCCAGGTTTGAATCCCGCCATGGCAGATGGTGGAATTTGAATTCAATAAATATCTGGGATTAAGAATCTAATGATGACCATGAATCCATTGTTGATTGTTGGAAAAACCCATCTGGTTCACTAATGTCCTTTAGGGAAGGAAACTGCCATCCTTACCTGGTCTGGCCTACATGTGACTCCAGACCCACAGCAATGTGGATGACTCTTAACAGCCCTCTGGGCAATTAGGGATGGGCAATAAATGCTGCCCGGCCAGCGATGTCCTCATCTCATGAATGAATAAAAAAAAAATACTCAATGCCCCAGCAGTCACCACCGTCTGGGACACTGACCCTGTGAGAGAAGTAATTTCTCTTCACCCCTGTTTTAAATGTGCTACCCCTTATCCTAAAACTATGAGCTCTTATTATGGATTCCCCCACATGAGGAAATATCCTCTGTATGTCTACTTTGTCAATATCCTGTCAATGTAGTTTTCACAAGAAAACATAATGAAACCATGAATGCTGTAATATTAGATGAACAATCTCATTAAAATTATCAGAAAAAAAAATCATTATTTTTATCTCAGGAGTATACACAAGTACTCAAACCTCAGTGAAGAGTTACCTCTATCTTTGCTAAAGCCCTCTGTTCAGTTGCCACAGCTTTAATTAGACTCCTTCTGGCCAAATGCTCCTTATTCAAATCCATCTAGCACACTGACTATCCAATTAAGACAACTTACTCTGTAATTGTAATTTAGAACTGCCCATTATTTTAGTTTTAATTTCTTCTAGCCTTTTTATTCAAAATCTTTGCATATTTAATTTAATATTTTTAGTATTTCTCTTCTATTTTTACTTTTTACAAATTTACAATGGCATCTTTTGACTTGCTCTCTGTGCTTAACTTATTCAAACTATTTAATGCTTATTTTCTAGAGTTAATGTCCTTATCCCAGACCTGCAAAATTAAACGGCAAACTTAGCTCACGCATTACTTAGAATGAATTTCCTAAACTCATATCTTCAACAGCCTCTCTGATGCCTTCGTATCTGTTTGCTTCTGTAGCTTTAGTCTTATAGAACTCTAAGTAACCGAGGACTTTTCCCAGTCCTGACTGCTTGGAGATTGCTACTGACAGAACCTCTGCTGTTATGAACCTCTTCTCTTTCCATGAACCTATTCCTAGTATCACCTCACCTTTGGAGGTCATAAAACTGAATTCAGAAAACACTTTAGTAATTATCTGTGACAAAGTTAGGTCAGGGTAGTGATAGTATTAGGTTACAGTTTGGGTTATTTAACTGAAATCACACAATTTGTTGTAAATACTGTTTTGAATTCTATGTTCGAAACAGTTTTCTCATCTTTAGAGTCATAAAGTAATACAGCATGGAAACAGGCTCTTTGGTCCAAACTGGTCCATGCTGCCCATGGTGCCCACTCAGCTAGTTCCAACAGCCCACATTTGGTCCATATCCCTCTAAACCCTTCCCGTCCATGTACCTATCCAAATAGTTTTTAAATGCTGCTATTGTACCTGCCCCAACCACTTTCTCTGGCAGCCTATTCCATATACACACCACTCTCTGTGTGAAGAAGTTGCCCCTCAGATCATTCTTAAATCTTTCCCCTTTCCACCTTAAACCTATGCCCTCTCATTTTCAATTCCCTATCCCTGGGAAAAAGACTATATGCATTCACCCGATCTATGCCCCTCACGATTTTATACACCTCAATAAGGTCACCCCTCATTCTCCTACGTTCCAAGGAATAAAGTCCCATCTTGGCCAACCTCTCCCTATAACTCAGGGTCTTCCTGGCAACATCCTCATAAATCTTCTTTGCACATTTTCCAGTTTAACTATATATTTCCTATAACAGGGTGACCAAACAGTACACAATATTCCAAGTGTGACCTCACCAATGACTTATATAACTGTAACATAACGTCCCAACTCCTATACTCAACGCTTCGACTGATGAAGGACAGCATGCTAAATGCCTTTTTCATCACCTCTGATGCCGCTTTCAACAAACTATGCACTTGTACTCCTAGATACCTCTGTTTCACAACATTCCTCATGACTTTACCATTGACTGTATAAGTCCTACCTTGGTTTGACTTTCCAAAGAGCAACACCTCACACTTATCTGTATTGAACTGTATTTGCCAATCCTCAGCCCACTTCCCCATCTGATCAAGATCCCTCTGTAATTTTTGGTAACCTTCCTCGCTATCAACAATACCTCCTAACTTTGTATCATCTGCAAACTTACTAATCATGCCTTGTACATTCCCATCCAGATCATTTATGTAAATAACAAATAACAAAGGTCCCAGCACTGACCCCTGTGACACACCACTAGTCACAGGCCTCCAGTCTGAGAAACAACCTGCAACTATCACCCTCTGCTTCCTACCATTGAGCCAATTATGAATCCAATTACGTGGGTCTCCCTGGATCCAATGCAACCTAACCTTCATGACTAGTCTGCCATGCGGGACCTTGTCAAAGGCCTACTAAAGTCTGTATAGACAACATCCACTGCCCAACCCTCATCTATCCTCTTGGTTACCTCTTCAAAAAACTCTAAAAGATTTGTCAGACATGACTTCCCGTGTACAAATCCATGCTGACTATCCCTAATCAGACCTTGACTATCCAAATGTTGGTTGATCCTGTCCCTCAGAATCCTTTCCAATAACTTGCCAACCACTGATGTCAGGCTCACTGGCCTGTAGTTCCCTGGTTTGTCTTTGCTACCTTTCTTAAACAATGGAACAACATTAGCCACTCTCCAGTCTTCCAGAACTTCACCAGTGACTAAAGATGAAGGAAGAATCTCTGCAAGGGCCTCTGCAATTTCTTCCCTAGCCTCCCATAACATCCAAGGATGGACTTGATCAGACCCAGGGAATTTATCCACCTTAATGCGATCTAAGGCTGCAAACACCTCCTCTCTGGTAATATGTACGAGGTCCAAAACATTCCCACTTGTTTCTCTTATTTCCTTAGCATCCATGATTCTCTCCTCAGTAAAACACTGAGGAGAAATATTCATTAAAAATCTCCCCCATCTCCTGTGGCTCCACACATAAACAGCCATGCTGATCTTTAAAAGAATCAAGTCATTTCTTTGCAGAACTGAAAATCCATTTTCACACACATTCGCAACCATAAATAATGTAAAATGAGCCTTCATAAGAGTTGGGGAGTTCAGGTACAGATTAGTAAACGTTGAACAGAACCATGGACAGATTCGAAGGATTGAACCCTCTACTACAGTTCCAATGTTTCTTTAATTCTGTGCAATTAACAATCTATTGTACAATTAACTTTAATTTATAAACTGAATCTACAAGAACACAGTTCTGAGAATATCCTAATGAATTAAGATATTAAAAGGCATGAATACAGTCAAGACTGACAGCACATCAATGGATACAAATAAAAATTAGAGACAAGTTAGTGGAGGGCAAATACTAAAATTGTAACATTTCTGAAAAATTCTGGAAGGAAGCTAACTAATTACAAAATAATGGGCTTTTCCAAATTAGATGCCCTGTTGGGGCAGTGAGTGTGCCAGAAGAATTAGTTTCCAACAAACTGACTTTACAATCAGTTCTAATAGAGTGATAAAGACATACAGTATGGAAGCAGACCCTTTTGCCCAACCAGTCCATGCTGACCACAATCCCAAACTAAACTAGTCCTATCTACCTACGCTTGGCCTGTATCCCTCCAAACATTTTTTATTCATGTACTTATCTAAAAGTCTTTTAAACATTCTAACCGTACCCGCATCAACAACTTCCTCTGGAAGTTCATTCTACACACGGACCACTCTCTGTGTTAAAAAAAAGATTCTTTTTTGAATCTTTCTCCTCTCACCTTAAAAATATACCCCTAGTCTTGAAATCCCCCACCCTAGAGAAAAGACAACTGCCATTCACCTTACTGCTCTCTAGATTTTATAAATCTCTGTGGTTGGTTTGCTCGCCGAGCTGGTTCGTTCATTCGCATATGTTTCATTACCCTGCTGGTTAACATCATCAGCGCAGCCTCTGACAAAGCGCTGTTGTGTTTTCCTGCCTGGTATTTAAACTCTGGGGTCCATTGGAATTGATTACCTCATTGCTGGTTTTCCTTTGCAGCGGAGTATATACAGGGTCTACTCTGTGTGTTTGTTGATGTCTTCTTGGTGGAGAACCAGGCCTCTAGGAATCCCTGTGGTTGTCTCTCCTTGGCCTGTCCTAGGATCCTGGTGTTGTCTCAATCAAACTGGTGGTTTTCCTTATCCGTGTGAATGGAGATGAGTGAGTATTGGTCATGTCTTTTTGTTGCTAGTTAGTGTTCATGTATCTTGTGGCCAATTTTCTTCCTGTTTGTCCAATGTAATGTTTGTCACAGTCCTTGCATGGAATTTTGTACATTACGTTGGTTCTGTTCATAATGGGTAAGGGATCTTTGGTTCGAGTTAGCAGTTGGTGCAGGGTTGATGTGGGTTTGTGTGCCACTCTGATGCCCAATGGTTGTAGGAGTCTTGTGGTCAGTTTGGATATGTTTTTGATGTAAGGTAGCGTGATGAGTGTGTTGGGGCATGCAGTATGTTCCTGGTGTTGTTCGTGTGGTAGGCATCGTCGGATCCAGCTGTTCGGGTATCCATTGTCCTTAAATACTTGGTAGAAGTATTCTTCTTTGCTTTGGCATAGTTCTGGGTTGCTACAGTATGTTGTCGCTCGTTTAAATAGTTTGTGGGTGTTGGGGTGGTTACTGTTGAAATTCAGTACTTGATCAGTGTGTGTGGCCTTTCTGTGTACCTTCAGCAGGAATTCCCCGTTGGCCCTGCGTTCTACCCTGATGTCTAGGAATGGGAGCTGTTCGTTCTTTTCTTCTTCCCCAGTGAATCCGATGTTGTTTATTAGTTGGTGTGTCTCCTCTAGTTTGGTCCATTTGATGATGACGAAAGTGTTGTCCAAATATCAGATCCATAGTTGGGATCGGATTTGCGGAAGGGCCATGCTTTTGAGTCTCTGCATCATTGCTTCTGCTATTGCTGACGAGGTGCTTTGGTCTTCGTTGTAATTCCTTGGCTAATCCACGTGATGGTGTGCCTGGGAGGGAGACTATGGATCTGAGGGGTACTTCCAGTTTGTGTACCTTTGGGAGGCCGTAGAATCGGGGGGTGTTTGTCCCTTCTGGTTTCATTTTTAGGTAGTCTTTGTTGATTTGTCCAGTCTGTTTGAGTCTCTTTAGTGTGTAGATTATTTTATTACCCAGTTGCGGTGTCGGGTCTATTTGCACTTGCCGGTATGTATTCGTGTCTGCGAGTCGTGCCTGTGCTTTAGTGAGGTAGTCCCATTTATTTAGTATTACTGTCATGCACCCTTTGTCTGCTGGTAGTATTGTGATGTTCTTGTCCTTTTTCAGTCCTTCTAGGGCCTTCCTTTCTGATGTGTTAGGAGTGTTAAGTTCGCTCCTTCTGGTCAGTGTTGGGATCACTGTCTGTCCTATGGCTTGTTGTGCTTCCTCAATGATGCCGTTGGTCTTCAGTGTGGCTAGAAATTCTGTCTTATTAGTGTCGCTCTGGCTGCAGCTGAGTCCACGTATTAGAACAACTTTCTCTGTGTCTGTTAGTTTCCCTTACCCACTATGGACAGATCCAACGTGATATACAAAATTCCATGCAAGGACTGCGACAAATATTACATTGGACAGACAGGAAGAAAACTGGCCACAAGAATACACGAACACCAATTAGCAACAAAAAGAAGCGACCAATACTCACTCATCTCCATTTACATGGATAAGGACAGCCACTAGTTTGATTGGGACAGCACCAGGATCCTAGGACAGGCCAAACAGAGACAAGCATGGGAATTTCTACAGGCCTGATTCTCCACCAAGAAGGCCATCAACAAACACATAGAACTAGGCCCTATATATACACCACTGCGAAGGAAAACCGGAAACAAGGTAATCAATTCCAACAGACACCAGAGTTCAAATAACAGGCGGGAAAACACAACAGCGCTTAATCAGAGGCTGCACTGATGATGTTACCCAGCAGGGTAATGAAACGTCTGCAAATGAACGAACTAGCTCGGTGAGCGAACCAACCACAGCATCTACAAACCAAGCTACAGAGCTACTTAAGAACCTTTATAAATCTCTAAGATCACCCTAAAACCTCCCACAGCCCAGTGAAAAAAGTCTCAGCCTCTCCAGCCTCACCTTATAACTGAAACGTTCCACTCCTAGCTACAGTCTGGTAAATCTCTTCTAACCCTCTGCAGTTTACTAACATCCTTCTTATAGCAGTGCGACCAGAACCAGACACAGTATTCCAGAAAAAGACTCACCAAAGTCTTGTACAACCTCAACATAATGTCCCAATTCCTATACACAAAGGTCTGAGCAATGAAGACAAGCATGCTAAATGCCTTATTAACCATGCTGTCTATATGTGACACAAACTTCAAAGAATTATCACTTGAACCCCTAGGGCTCTCTGTTCTATAGCACTACCCAAGGCCCTAATTTCAATTGTATAAATCCTGCCCTTTCTTGTTTTACCAAAATGCAATACTTTTTCTTGCACAATGCAAACTAACCATTTCTCCTTACCTCATAGAAATGCTCACAAGGATAGTCATAACCAAACCATGGGAGTCCTAGTACGAGCTTTTTGGAATCAACACCCAGCTTGATATAATGGGACAGACCTAAATGGGCAGAAATATGATGGTCTTAGGTTAGCATTGATATGGAGCAGGCACACCCTCTAACAGAAGATCACACTGTTCATACCTGTTAATGTTTGGTGATAGGGAGCATTTGCTTTCGCAAAGCACTCATCCCACATTTCAAGTTGCATGTCATAGGCCTTCACATGTAAAAAGTCACAGGACTTTGCTATTGATGTGTAATCATTGCACATGCCAACTCGACAGTCTGGAGACCAAGGGACACTAAGTGAGACCTATGGAACAAACAGCAAGAGAAAGTTAATCATATCCCACAACTGATATTGGGTAAGACTAACATTATGCGATTCTTTAAAGTGCTCCCAAATGTGGATGGCTCATGGGAACTGTGAAATTAACAGAGTAAAAGGACATCAGTGATAGAGACATTACAGCACAGGGAGAGGCCACTTGGCCCATCGTATCTCAACCAGCACTCTGCGGACCAACCCAGCCAGTCCCAGTCACCTGCTCTCTCTCTGGATTGAAACAGTTTATTGTTCTTTTGTGTCTATTCAATTTTCTTTTGATCATCTTCACTTCCATTTTCCTGGTTGGCTGCAAGTTTCAGGTCATTAAATCTCACAGCGCAAAACAGTTCTTTCACATATTGCTCCATGTCTCTTTATCCCTTAGTCCTCTACCATTAACTAGTGAGAAGAACTTTATACTTGTTTACTTTTCTCTAAGCCTGAAAAAATCTCTTCTCAACTCCCTTGGTCCAACAAGAACAGCCCAAGCAGCTCCAAGCAAACCTTGTGGCTTAAATTCTGCACCTTGGAATTATTTTGTTTAATGTTCTCTGCACGATCTCAAGGAATCTCCTATCCTTCCAAAAGAGATGAGCATTATCAAATCAGCCATGATCTTGTTGAATAGCAGAGTAGACTCAATGGACTGAATGGCCTACTTCTGCTCTCTATGGTCTTCTTGTCTTATGGTTGTACGCAACTTTGGAAGGATTATGCAGGGTCTGTATAAATAAAGATTTCCTCTCCTTTACCAAGAGTCTTCATGGAGTAAATAAGGACAAAACATTTCCCGTGGCAGGAGGCTCAGTAAACAGGATTCAGAGATTTCAGAGAATTGCCACAAGAGCCCGACACAAGGTGAGATGAGTGTTTTGCACATGGAGTTGAAATGCAGCGTGGAAGTTGATTCAACAGCAACTTTCAAAAGGGAACTGGATAAAGATATGAGATAAACTGGAGAGCAATGGGGAGAGAGCAGGGAAATGGGAGTCACTGGGTGCCTTTTTCAAAGAGCAGGCACAGGGCTGATGGGCCAAATGACCTCCTTCTGTGCTGTATCATTCTTAAACACATGTGAAAGTTACAATTCAGATCTTGCCAATGGTGGAAGCTGTGCGTCGATCCAGCTGTCTCATTGGAGGCTCCAATTGCTGCATTACCGAGCCCTGCTGCACCTGCAGCTGAAGTTGATTCAGCGTAAAATATCTTACAACTGCCTTATGACAGGACGATGGACTAAAAAACAGCGACTAAAAATCAACATTTCAATTCACCTCTTCAGGAAAATAGATCCATGTTTATTTATAAATGCCTAATTAGTTAAACAAATGACAAAAACAGAAATTGCTGGAAAAGCTCAGAACTGTTCTGAGGAAGAGTCACTCGACCCAAAATGTTAACTCTGATTTCTCTCTGCGGATACTGACAGACCTCCTGAGCTCTTCAAGCAATTTCTACTTTTGTGTCTGATTTACAGCATCAGCAGTTCTTTTGGTTTTTACTAAACACATGATTTGGCTCCGTTTTGTGAAAAGCGGCTCTTTCACCTGAGATCCAGGTATTTCACGATGGAAGACACCTTCTATCTGCTCAAGCAGTTTGGGTAGTTTTTGATGATTTCGAATAGGATTCGACAGTTCCAGGAGGATTCCATCCATGAACTTAATCTTTGTGAAATATACAGTGTCTTTGATCCAATCTGTCTGTTCCTTTTCATCTGTCAACTGTTTCTGATGTACACGCTCTGGTGGAATGAGAAGAAATGCAAACTAATGTTGTTAAAGCTTCAATCACAGAATAGACAATCTCATGGTACGTTACCAAACAAACCTGCCAACTTTAACAAGAAATGAGGGGAGGGAGAGTCAATTAGAATTTGCATTTGCATGGCATCTTTCACATCCTCTTACATCCTTCATATCCAATGAATTATTTTTTGAACTATGATCACTGTGTTTTTCTATGTTGATGTAATGGTGAATATGTCCCCACCAAGGTCTCACAGACAGGGCATCAGATACTTGACCAGCTTGCTATTCTGATGGTGCTAGTTGTGAGTTTAATATTGCCCAAGTCATCATGAGAACGCTGTGTTCTTCTTTCAGTTGTTCCCTTTCGAGGTCCTCTATACCCACCTGTACAAGCATGTCAACCAATGTTCATTGTCTCATCAGCACCATGCTCAGATGGGCAGAACAGTGGCAAATGGAATTTAGATGTGAAAAGTGTGAGGTGATGAATTTTGGGAGGACTAACAAGGCCAGGGAATACTCATTGAATGGTAGGACCCTGGGAAATACAGAGGATCAGTGGGATCTAGCTGTTCAGAGATCCTTGAAGGAAAGGTAGATAAGGTGCTTAAGAGGCAGATGGGATAGTTGCCTTTATTAGTCCAGGCATTTAATATAAAAGCAGGGAGATTATGATGGAGCTGTATACAACACTAGCTGGACTACTGTGTGCAATTCTGTGCAAAACTGTAGGAAGAATGTGATTGCACTAGAGTAGGATGCAGAGGAGATTCACCAGGATGTTGCCTGCGATGGAGTGATTCAGCAATGAAGAGAGGCTGGATAGGCTCAGGTTGTTTTCTTTAGAGCAGAAAAGGCTGAAGAGGGCACAATTTAAATGTGTAAGGTTATGAGAGGTTGAGGTTCGGTAAGGTAGAAGGAAACCTTTTCCCTCAGTAAAGGGATCCAAAATCAGGGGACACAGAGTTAAAGTAAAGGGGCAGGAGGTTTGGACAGTATTTGAGGAATTTTATTTTCACTGAGGTGGTAGTGAGATCTGGAATTTACTGACTAAAAGGGTGATAGGGACAGAAACCCCCAAAGCATTTCTGAAGAATTCAGATGAGCACTGGAAATGCCATAGTATACTGGAAAATGAGATTACAGGGCTTGAGGTGTTTGACGACCAGCATAGAGACAATAGGCTGAAGGGCATCTTTCCATGCTGTAAAATTCTATGGAGTGGAATCTTACAGGGATCTGAGGGATGTGGGCCAGTCTGAGATTTGAAGCTAATCAAGCCAGAAGTTCAGTAAGACCCAGGAGCACACTGCCCACTCTTGCCGAGGGGTGAGGGGAATTTCGCGTGAGGCAGTGGTGAGCTGCCAATCAAGGGGGAATTCCAGTGTGTTGTTATTCAGCCAAACGCAAACAGAGATGCAGGAGAAACTCAGTGGGTCTGGCAGCAACTGTCGAGAGAAGAGTTAACGTTTCGAATCCAGTCTGATTCTCCCTCAGAACCCAGCTTGCCTAGTAACAGCCTAACTCCCCTCATTAATATTCAGCTTCCTATCTTCCCGCTTCCACAAATATCTCTGTTTCCTCCACCCCCTCCCTAAGCCACGACATTCCCGCCTCCTTTAGTATTGACTACACCCACTGCCCTAATAGATCCCCCCACCCCACTTTAACCTTCCATTGACTCACCGCCAAGACGAGATTCGCCTGAGACCTCTGACCTCCCTCGAGGAGCAGCCGCTGGATGTGAGGGTCCAGACAAACAAGGTGCCAAACGAAGATGCTGAGAATTCCTGACATGGGACCTGGAGTGGGTTCCCAGTGACGTCAGCTTTCTCTCTGCTTGTCCCTGTTGCATAGGACCAATCCGCATTTCCTGGCATCATCCATGGGCACCAGCTGGATGTGCCCTTCATCCACAGAAATTGGCATCTGGGATGTGCCAATCCTCTATGACCATGGTGGCACTTCTCTGATTGCAGATTGCTGAGGAAGCACATCCCTGCATTGTGGGGCACAGCGGTCACTAGCATTGAAAGGTTGCTGCATGGGCAGGCTCCCAGCTCACGGGTTAGACCCAACTGCATCTCAGGACTGCTCGCTTGCTCTCTCAGCGCTCGCTCACTTATGCGCGCATTGTCGCACCATCCATGATGTGCCATACCAGTTGGCGCATTGATGCTTCAGCTGCAATCAGTGTTGCTACTTGGAGGTGCCCTTTTACATTGACACAATGGCAGGCTGCTGGCCAATGAGGGATGTGCCCAGGATGGGGCAGGTGAAGGGTGTAGACTCCTTGCTGTAGGGCACACTGAGATGCCAACCTAACACCAGCATATGCCAACTGCCCGCATGGCAAACATACTCCACGGTCATTCAACCAAAGGGCCAGGTGGTGGCATTCAAGTCTTCAGTCCCATCAAAGAGGAGGCAGCTGACAGTCAGGAAGTCCTGGTGCCCAGGGGTGTCATCAGGATATAGCCCAGGGGCTTGGCCATTCTCAGTTGTCAGCCTGGGGCGCTCACTGCAAGGAGCTCTGTTAGATGGCAGCCTGGCGAGTGGGCAATGCTCAGCCCCAGCGGCCAGAGGAACCATATTCTGTCAGTTGGGGAGCCGCAGAGCTCATGGTCTGCTGTCTGGACCCTCACATCCAGCGGCTGCTCCTCGAGGGAGGTCAGAGGTCTCAGGCGAATCTAGTCTTGGCAGTGAGTCAATGGAAGGTTAAAGTTGGGGGGGGGCTACTAGCGAGGGTGTCATTGGCAGTGACTACCACCATGGCCTACCCACAGAAGGGTAAAGGAGCATGGTGGGTAATATTAAGATGTAATACCAGAGCTTGAGAGGACAGTTAGAGGTGTGGTTCAATGCGGTGAGTCTCCACATGGCGCAGATGGGTGGGAATGGGCAGTCAGGCAAGGTAAAGAGATATGCATACTCTGCAGAGGCCCTGGGAGATTGTGGTCTCTTATCTGAGTAAGGATATTCTGGCTATGAAGGGAATGCGACAAGGATTTACCAGTCCAATTCCTGTAATGACAGCATTGACGTATGAAGTCAGGCTAGATCAGATAGGACTATATTCACTGGAGTTTAGAAGAATGTTGGGGATTGGACTTTACAGAAATCTATCAAATTCTAACAGGATTAGACAGGGTCAACACAGGAAAGATGTTTCCAATGCCCAGGAGTCCACAGTCTAAGGATACAGGGTAGGCCAGTTAGGATTGAGATGAGGAGCAATGTCTCCACCCAGAGAATCCCTACAGTGTGGAAACAGGCCCCTCAGCCCAACAAGTCCACACCGACCCTCAGAGCATCCCACCCAGACCCATTCCCCTGTAACCCACCTAATCTACACATCCCTGAACACTATGGACAATTTATCATGGCCAATCCACCTAGCCTGTACATCTTTGGGCTGTGGGAGGAAACCGGAGCACCCGGAGGAAACCCACGCAGACACAGGGAGAATGTGCAAACTCCACACAGACAGTCACCCGAGGGTGGAATTGAACCTAGGTCCCTGGTGCTGTGAGGCAGCAGTGCTAACCACTGAGCCACCATACCGCCCAGAGAGTGGGGAGCCTGTGGGATTCTCTGCCACAGAAAGTGATTGAGACCAAAACATTGAATGTTTTTGAGAAGGAGTTAGATATAGTTCTTATTGCTAAAGGGTTCAAAGGGTAGGAGGAGAAAACAGGAACAAGGGACTGAGTTGGATGATCAGCCGTGATCATATTGAATGGCAAATCAGATTCAAAGAGCTGAAAGGCCTCCTCCTGCTCCAATTTACTATAGTGCCACAAGGTGGAGCCTGGTGAAGACATCATCCATGCTGAGCTGTGTCCCTTGGCATCATTTATCGTTCTTTGGACAAGTGAAAGCCTGCTGGCACAATGATCACAATGGGCCGAATCAGTGCCAGTTCGATGGTGAAATTGATGTCTGCTGGACTAGGACATTGAAGGGGCAAATAAATGAAGTATCCATTTGTAATTTCATTTACAAACATTTCTTTGCACATATTCATCTTCAACTGCTTCACCAATGACCTTCCCTCCATTATAAGGTCAGAAGTGGGGATGCTTGCCGATGATTGCACAATGTTCAGCACCATTTGTGACTCCTCAGATACTGAAGCAGTCCGTGTTCAAATGCAACAAGATCTGGCCAATATCCAGACTTGGGCTGACAAGGGGCAAGTGACATTTGTGCCACACAAATGCCAGGCTATGACCATCACCAATAAGAGTGAATCAAATCACTGCCGCTTAACATTCAATGGTGTTGCCATCGCTGAGTCCCTGACTATCAACACCCTAGGGGTTACCATTGACCAGAACTCAACTGGACTTGCCATATAAATACATTGGATACAAGAGCAGGTCAAAGGCTAAGAATCTTGCAGCAAGTAACACACCTCCTGATTTCCCAAAGCCTGTATGTCACAGAAGGAGGCCATTCAGCCCATCATGCCTGCATCAATTCTATTCCCTAGTGCCAGTTCTTTGCCTTTTCCCCATATCCCAACACACGAATAATACTTCTTGCGTTAGGAGGCAGAAAGACATATCTTTCCATGAGAAAGTTCATTACAGTACCTTTCAAGACAACCCGAACGCCGTGCTCATGAGCATAACACAGAAGTGTTGAGTCAACAGTTTTTTTGACCACAATTGTGGTAATCTTTGACCAGTCATAATACTTCCATTCGGATCCTCCATCATCAAAGATAACAACCTGGTACAGAAAGAGAGTGGTTTAACTAGATCATTGGGTTATTATTAGTTTACATTACAATACAGTGGAAGTGGTGAGCGCTCGGACACTGAGGGGTCAGAGGGAGGCAGAAAATCAAGCTGTCAGCTGTTGCAATTGATCATGTAAAACTGACTTTAAATATCTCCATTTCCAACAAATATAACTGTCGCAGATGGAATGGAATCGTGAACAGATTCAATCTCCTGTGACCACACTCTCCAATGAGCAACATTGAAGTGAATATTAACCTGAGCAGCTACTGAACAGTTACATTTTACACCAAGGTTTTGTCCCAGGATCTGTACATTGTATTCACTTTAATCTGGGCCAGGATCTCAGTTTTACAAAGAGTGAGGTCAAATCACACAATGTTATTCCATATGATCCCAGGATTTTGACCTGGTGTTTTCTTTGGGTCATTATTCTGTGCAGACTGCAATCCTGAACCATGGGATTAAAATGTCAGTGGATCACACTTCATTTCAGAGGTGGTACATCAGGGACACAGTTTAACAGAAATATTTTCTTGCTGCTGCCCTTGTTAAAGCATTTTTGCTCTGCTCAGTCTTCCCGAGGCTCCTGTTTCACACAGGCT